CGCATTTTTCTCCATTTCGGTCCAGTAGTAGCCGGTTCTGATTAGCTTACGAACCAAGGATTCTTCCTCGGAATGGTTCCCGCAAGTGCCCTCGACTTCTATCATGGCGTATTCGGTCCCTCACAGTCCCAAGCATCTGGCTAGTGGGCCAAAGAAAGACCTCCTGAACAATGCCCCTACGACCAAGCTAAATCTGGCAGCTTTGGTGCGCAGGGCTCTCGATTGTTTAGGATCTGAAGGCAATTTTTCCGTCTTCAAGTAGTTTATGTATTTGTTTCTCCAATCCCAAGTTAAACTCGTCGAGTTCACTTCGGTGTGACCTTCTTCTATCACCAAATTCATTAGTTGCACCACTACTCCCGAGTTGAACTCATCGGAATCGACCGACGACCCCAAGTTAGCCAGTGCATCGACCTCACTATTTTGATCTCGGGGTACATGTTGTAGGGTCCACTCTATGAATTGGTGTGGGGCTACCTGTAATTTGTCCAAGTATCTCCGCATTCGTTCTTCTTTTACTTCGAACGTTCCGTTGACTTGATTTACAACGAGGAGGGAGTCGCACTTGGCTTCGATCACTTCAGCCCCAAGGCTCTTAGCCAATTCTAGACCTGCAATCATGGTCTCATACTCGGCCTCATTGTTAGTCAATTTCACAGTTCTAATAGACTGCCTAACCATACTTCCCGTAGGTGACTTTAACACGATACCGAGCCCGGATTTATTCAGATATGTGTTTACCACAAAATTGGGTAACAATTAAATTTGTACGTTGTTTTAAGGATATGCGGCTTAATTCAACATGAACAATTAAGAATACCAAACAAATGAGTTAGGGATGATACCTTCAAACCAATTACAATATTATGGCTAAGCATGAACTTAGACTGAACTATGGCCTCGTCCTCGGTTGGACCCACGGTTCAAGCTCAGTCGTGAATGAAGAAGAGAGCAAATGAGCAAAAGTTTTAACAATAGCTAAAAGGCAAAAAATAAAGTTATATTGCTTTGATTTGCGTATTACAATGTGTTGAACAATTGCGTGTTACAATGTGTTGAACAAAAGAAAAATTTTTTCTTTATATAGTAGGAGAGTTTCGGTCATAGTACAAGTCTAAAAAAGGTAAAAATCTTCTTTTTCTAGTAATTATTGATCCATGATCGACATCGAGCGAGATTCGTGCCGTGATATCCGGTTGAGTGCGAGTATTACGGCCCTCTATCCGTCGTGCATAACCATTCACTGTATCTCCCGAGGTCTAGAACCTGTATTCGGCTTGGGGCGCGTCAATATATCACGTCTGATATCGGATATGCCGCTCACTCTTCCCGGATCTCGATACGAAAGGTCTCTGACCTTGATTGCAATCTCGCGGATCCGTGCTCTCCCTCCGTTCTCTCATCGAGGAATCAGGGTAGATGTTGCCCCAGATTTTACCCGTACACAATAAATACTAGTAGACAGTCGTACAACCTATTGTAATAACTCGAACTTTTTTTTATTGTCATCCAATTAATGTGTAATCCGACATGTCTTACACCTAACTTAATTTTAAGATTACACCTAACATTTTCTTAAATTATCTAAATTAATTTGTAATGCATTGTGATTCATTAGCCATCCTCATATTTGTTCAATTAGATTGAGAATTTGAAACAGATGTGGTCAGAACTCCAGTCTCGAGGCAAAGCCGATCCAATGACTAAAGAGATACCACCTAAGCTGTTAAAGAATGGTAGTTGGAGAATGAGAAGGCCACTAAACTACATTCGTCATCTTTTCTGATTTTCCTAAATAGTTAGTGCATGCTTAATAATTGTTTGAAATTCTATATTGAAGCACAAACTTAATTGCTTTTCTGCTTCATATATTGTTACGCCTTGCCCGTCTGGCCATCCATCTCTGCCCCCTCTGAAAGTGGCTAATAATTAAATCTGTTCATACTTTGAAAGTTTGAATTAAGCTTTTATTTCATTGATTTTATTTTAATATCCAAAAGCCAAACATCCATTTTATCCATGTCAGCCGTGATTGAACAACACTCATGATCGTATAAGTTTATTTATAGTCATTTAGTTAAGTTGAAGTGTTCAAATAGAAAAGTTCTAAATTTATCTACTGGAATGGTAAACGGGTACAAGTTTAAATGGTAAGGAGGTCATTTTGCCTTTATAAAATCAGTTTCAATACTTAAATAGTATTTTTCAGCACTTATACGTATGAGCTATTTTAAATAATCTAACCCAAACGGGCTCGAAGAGTCTTCACCTCCTCTCTCTCCATTTAAACGTTTTTTGTTTTTTCGTATATTGCCATTAACATCTAACTATACAATTAGATTAGTCTTGTTTGGATTTGTCTTATCTTATGACATGGTATCATCTCATATTTGTTTGAACCCACGTGTTGAACGTCATGATTCAACCATAAATCTTATTTAATTTTTTTTTATCTATACATGGAGGTAAATTCATATGCATGATCAAATCACTTTTACATATTATATTAGGTCAATTATCACGTATCGTCGATTACCAATTAATAATAATATACAATGTAAAGTTATTGATAATTAACTTTTACATGATTTGATAGTTTAAATAATTTTTTAGACATCAATGTGTAGCAGTTACACTTATATATCATAATTCGGCAAAGGGCCAAATATACCTTTGTATTTTCGAAAATGGTCTAATAATATCTCTCGTTATACTATTGTGCTATATATACCCTTCCTGTCATACTTTGGAACAAATATACCCTTATTTTGGATGGAGTGCCACATGTCAGCACCAGATGAAAACGACCCATTTCATTTTTTTACCCGATCCATTTTTAAAAACCCACCACCCGACCCATTTTAAAATTCAGTTTTTTTAAAGCATATATTTTGTAAAAACTAGATTTGTTTTTGTAAAAACTAAAGAAAAAAAAAAGTAATTTACAAAATATATATTTTTAAGTCTTTTCAGTTTTTTTAAAGTATTGTTTTTGTAAAAACTGAAAAAAAATATTTCTTTTAAAAATACTTTAAAAACTGAAAAATATATATTCTGTAAAAACTGGAAAAAAAAAAAAGAAATTTGCAAAATATATATTTTTCAGTTTTTTTAGTTTTTTAAAGTATTTTTTTTGTAAAAATTGAAAAAAAAAGATTTTGCAAAATATTTTCATTTTTTTAAAACTAATGCATATGTAGTCCACTACTTTAGGAGAGTCTTTTTTTCAGTTTTTAAAGTATTTTTTTTGTAAAAATTGAAAAAAAAAGATTTTGCAAAATATTTTCATTTTTTTAAAACTAATGCATATGTAGTCCACTACTTTAGGAGAGTCTTTTTTTCAGTTTTTAAAAAAAGTATTTGTTTTTAAGTTTTTACAAAAAAATACACTTTAAAAAAACTGAAAAGACTTAAAAATATATATTTTACAAATTTTTTTTTTCATTTTTTACGGAATATATATTTTTCAGTTTTTAAAGTATTTTTAATTTTTTTTCAGTTTTACAAAAAATATACTTTAAAAAAAACTGAAAAGACTTAAAAAATATATATTTTGCAAATTACTTTTTTTTTTCAGTTTTTACAAAAAAAAAATCTAGTTTTTACAAAATATATGCTTTAAAAAAACTAAATTTTAAAACGGGTCGTGTGGTGGATTTTTAAAATGAATCGGGTAAAAAATTGAAATGGGTCGTTTTCATTTAGTGCTGACACGTGGCACTCCATCCAAAATAGGGTATATTTGTTCCAAAGTATGACGGGAAGGGTATATATAGCCCAATAGTATAACGAGGGGTATTCTTAGACCATTTTCAAAAATACAGGGGTATATTTGGCCCTTTGCCGATCATAATTACATCATTTCAAACCTTGGATGTCTCTCTGCAAATTGACTTTTCTTTTCCATAATAGTTTCAGATTTTAATTTTTCTATACTATTAGTATTAATTTGAAATAACAGTTCATAATAAGCTCAAGTAGTCGCCTATAAAATTATGAGCTAATTTGGATTGACTTATTTTAAGTGTTTTTAAGCCAAAATAACTTTTAAGTCATTTTATAGTATTTGGATAGAGTAAAAAAAAGTACTTTTAAGCACTTGTTTTTAAGCTAAAATGACAAAAATAAGCCAAAAGCCAAAAACTATAATTAATAACTAGTTTAAAAGTCACTTAAAATAAGGTCATCCAAACGAACTCTATAAGACTGACAACTTATAGCATGTTTGGCCAAGGTGGAAAAATCATCTTATTTTAATAAGCGCTTTTTTTAAAAGTGCTTTTGAAAAAACTATTTTTGGAGAAAAACAGTTTGTGTTTGGCTAATCATTTTGAAAAGCACTTTTGAGTAATGATTTGTGTTTGGCTAAACTTTTCAAAAAATATTTTTAAGTATCAAATTACGAATAAGGACATGAATAGATTTATTTAATAGTTAATATTATAAGTAAATAAATAATCTTAAAATTTGTTATTACATGCAATAATTAATTCTTTTTAGTTTATTTAAGTAAAATATGAAAATAAAATTTAAAAGTACTTTAATTATTTTAATATTATTTAAATATATTAAAAATCATTCAACAAATATAAAAGAATTCACCCCTAAAGTCATTATATATTAGAAAGCTATCCTAAAAATAAGAAGAAATACTTATACATTAATATCCTAAGTATTAGGTTTAACGGTTATTTTGGTATATACTATATTTTGTTAATGGTATTTTTGGTAAGAAGAAAAGTTAACTGGTTCTACTTTTGGAAAGAAGCTATTTTTTTCTGCTTCTCAGATTCTGTTTGTGGTTCTTCCCAAAAGTACTTTTTTTTCCAAAAAAATTTGGTCAAACACCTTAAGTTAAGGGGAAAAAATGCTTTTGAAAAAGAAAAAAAAATACTTTTGCGAAGTTTGGCCAAACAAGGTATTAGTATAACAAATTAAATTAAATATTTGAATCATTTTAATTATAAATTCCCTCTCAGTGTCCAAGACAAGACTCTCTGTCTTTCTCTATCCAGGGATTAATTCTCTCCTCCCCTTCAAGCAAAGTTGTTTCCTCTCTATCTTCACCTTTTCTTTATTCTTTCTTTCTGTTGGTTTCTGGGTTTCCGTGTAGCTTTTTGAGATCCACTTCCACTTCACCAAAAATGGGGTATTCCCCAAGTAGTTGTACTGACTCTTTGGAGGAGCGTTTTCACAACCCACACTCCTCAAAGACTCAAAATTTAGCCATTAAAACTAATCACTATGAGCTAAAGATTAAATCTTTAATCTACAAAATGATTTGGGATTTCGGATTAGCCTGTATTATCCCACCTCGTAGACGTCGAAATTCTGTAATCAAGAATCAGTGCAAAAATAAAGATTACGAAAATGGCAAAAATTTGGAGCATAACAAAGCTTGGTTACTTGCAGAGGCTGGAGGGTGTGGTGGTCCAGAGTTGATTAATGCGGACCCGCATTCTGTTCACTCTTCTTTTAGGTTCAATTTATGTACTCAAGTTGAGCTTGATGAGTCAATGAAGTTGGAAAATAGCTGTTCTTCTTCTTCTGCTACTACTACTGTGTTAATGGTGAATTTGGATAATGGGTTTACTGATCTTAATAAATCTGATCAAGAGCTGAAATTTAGGAAAGTTGAGTCTTTAGAGAGGAATATTTCTCCTGTGGTTCATTCCTTGATTAGGTTCAGCTTTAATGAGATTGCTTCTGCCACTAAAAATTTTTCCAAAGGTATGTTCAATTTCTTGCCCGTTCTCCTCCATTTTTTTCAATGACGGACGTAGGTATTTTTGCCTAAAAAATCACTTCTACAAATAATAAATTTTGAATCCATTTAAATTAGATTATATATGGTAAAATTGCAAATATGAACCCATAAAATTTAAATGGTGAACGTACCTCTGATACTAGTGCCAGCTTGCACAGCACGTTGCAAGTACCTCGACTATTTTGCTCCATACCTGTTATCTCTCACCATCCCACCTAAATGGAAACTATGTCCATCAAAGCATGGGAAAAAATCACTTGGGTTTTTTGCTATCTTCTTGGCCTTTCTCTTTTCATGTATTTCAATTTATGTTTCTTGAAATGGGTTTCAATTTCTAGGCTATTATTTTCTTTGATGTGTTTTGATTTATATTTCTTGAATTGGGTAGGAAGAGTTTTGGGAAGAGGAGCATTGAGCTATGTATTCAGAGGAAGAGTGGGATTTTTGAGGACAACAGTGGCAATTAAGAGGTTAGATATGGAGGACAAGGAGTCTCCAAAGGCATTTTGTAGGGAATTGATGATTGCTAGTTCTCTTCATAACCAATACATTGTTCCTCTTGTGGGTTTTTGCATTGATCCAGAGGAGGGTTTATTTTTGGTGTACAAGTATGTATCTGGTGGAAGTTTAGAGCGGTATTTGCATGGTAAATAGTCTTTGCTTTCCTTTTTTCTTTTGTGGAATGATTTTTAGTTTGACTTTACAGTATTTCAGTGAGACTTAAATTTATTCACTTAACAGGAAAGAAGAGGGGAGTTAAAGGTGGTCCAGCACTTACATGGTCTGCTAGGTATAAGGTGGCTGTAGGAATTGCAGAGTCAATTGGGTATTTGCATAATGGGACTGAGAGATGTGTTGTTCACAGAGACATCAAGCCCTCAAACATTCTTCTTTCATCAAAGAAAACTCCCAAGGTAATGAAAAGGATGTCATTTCATTTAGAAAGCTCATTTAGGTAATTGTCAATATTTTGATGGATATACTATCCTGTGGTAATTCTTTTCATAAGGGTAGTGGTGTCCGGGCCAGCTTGTGTATCCTCGACTATTCCATCAGATAACTACTACCTTCTACCAATATATTGCTGGGTAACTCTGTACACCAAGGCTTAAACAAATAGGAAGAAGCTACTTATGATTCGTTTTATCTCTATTGGGATTTGAAGTCCGGTTCCGTATAGTTCTCCAACACTTCATTGAACATTTGGCCACACTCTTGCGTGCTAGCCAAAAGTAGTTTTTTCTGGTCGATTGTGCTATAATTTAATTGTTGCTTGGTCTATGCAGTTGTGTGACTTTGGCTTAGCTACATGGACTCCTGCACCTTCGGTACATTTCCTTTGTAAAACTGTAAAAGGAACATTTGGGTAAGATTTCCACCAGGAAAACTCTTTAGCATAACAATGACTAAGATCCTGATGTAGCTTAACAATACAAATATTTCCTACATTTTAACAGGTTTTTGAAACTATATTCGCAGGTACTTAGCCCCAGAGTATTTTCAGCACGGTAAAGTGTCTGATAAAACCGATGTTTATGCTTTTGGAGTTGTCCTCTTGGAGCTATTAACGGGACGGAAGCCAATTGAAGCGAAAAGAGGGCCAGGAGAAGAAAACTTGGTTTTGTGGGTAGGTGGTTGCCTAAACATTTCCCTAATGTTTCTCTTCAATTTTGTCTTATTTTGATGTCTAAGTCAGTCTTATCACTTTATAAAGTTATACACAACTATCATTAGCAACTATTAATGTCGTTTGATTTTTTGTCCAAACTCTGTTTCTCCCAAAATTGCTGATCCTAAATTTCAGTGGTAGGAAAAGTTTTGAAATAGCATGTGATCTGTAGATGGTCTTTTCATTTAATTACTTTCATTTAGCTGTTCTTGCACGAGTGATTCTGCATCTTGAAGGTGTTGTATTCAACTCACTGACACTAAAGTTTTTGTACCGAAACTTGGAAAGAGTTGGCATTTCGTGGTCCTTTATTTGGACTTACCTTAAAAAAGTAGAAGATGTTCAATAAGGCATTACCAGCTCTCTGTGCAGATCTTTAAGTTCAGATGTTTCTCCTATTCAGGCAAAGCCACTATTGCAGCAAGATGTTCTTGAAAAATTTCTTGATCCAAGACTTAAATTTCCTCGAAAGAATGTACACCAAATATCTCGGATGGTTCAAGCAGCAACTGCATGTATACACACTGAAGAATCTCGAAGGCCCGATATTGATGAGATCATCGACATATTGAGAGGCAGAGAACCTGATTCGTTCAGGCGGAAGAATACCATTTTACCAAGTAACAGCTGTGTGATTGACTCCCAATTGCAGCAGACTAGAAACGAAATGAAGAGTCATTTAGCCTTGGCGATGCTAGGAGTTGCAGATTTTGAGGATGATGACCTTTATTTCGTTGAAACAAGAAGTTGAATGTGAAAGTTTTTATCCTTGTTTGCCATTGCCCCATTCAACTTGAAAGGGAGGAGAATTATAGTGTGACAACTGATAAGCTCGTTAACTTTGTAGATAAAAGAGTCATCCTGATCGATGAATTCTGTGTTTGTACATACTGGTTTCTTGTCCCCACTCTAAGGAAAAACTAAGACAGTTTCTGTATTTCAAGATTAGATAGGAAAGTTGCGCAACATTGTTTTCTTCATTGCAAGTTAGTCTTTCCTTGGACATTCTAAGTGCCATGTATTTTAGCTATAATCAGCCAACTTTAGATATGTAATTTTGTATTACTACTTGGTTAATAGAAGAGTACATAGGTGGGCAGTTTTTATCATTTTCCTTTCAGATTCTTTCTTCTTTTTTATCTGCTTCCAATTATAAATCCACAATTCCATTTAAACAAGCTCTTTTTCTCTTCTCCAAGAAAACTTGGTCCTTTTTTCAAAACCGTTCATCCTAGAGATATAGGAGCAGTATATCACAATCTCTTGAACTTTAAACTTATTTGAACTTTAGAGTTAGACATGCATGTTAGAACACACTTTTTTCAATTCGGAATTCACGTCTAAATTTTATATTTGTATTTGGGAAAAAAAATGAAGAAAAGAAAAAATATTCTTGTCTATTTCCATAACATATTCCCTCATGCCAATTCTCTATTCATGCACGATTACATACTAGTATTTCTTTATTAATACAAGGACAGAAGTTGATCGATCCAATTCAAGTTAGGTAATTAAGAAAGAGATGGTTCAGAAAATACAAACACTATGCCATGCACAACGATCAAAATCAAGATCAACTTGCAATAATTTGGCATGGGGGAAACCAAGACAGCTCAACTCTCACATGCGACAACAATTCAAATACAAGGTTAACAAACTTGTTGCTGAATCTTGTTGACCCACGTTGTCACATTAGGAGGGAAAGAAGATGAACAACAACAGCAAATTTTGTTTTAAACCCCACAAATTAAAATGAAAAAAATACATACAATCAACCTCAATATGATGTAAGAAAAACGGATGTTACAGTTTAACTAACTTAAACGGTTTCTTCAACAAGAAAAGAGACAGAAAATAAGGCAAGTTACGTAATTGTGTAAAAATTCTTTGCACTATCTTTGTGTATAAGTTAAAATCCATATCAAAATGATGAATTATATTAAAAGTGGAAGCTAGAATATTTTAGCAACATCCCTAATCAAGCCTCTGTTGGCTCGGGCAAATTCTGTGAACTCTTGAAAGGAAATGAAACCATCTTTATCAGTGTCAATTTCGTCCATCATATACTTAACTTCTTCAGGAGTAACAGAGCCCAGGGTTTGCAACGTCTCCCCAAGTTCTGTAGCAGATATTTGCCCATCACCATTTTCATCAAATCGCTTAAAGATTCGTTCTCGATCAGCTATATCTTGTGGATCGTCAGCCTCAGCCATTCTTTTATTTTATAAATCTTTTCTGATGGCAATAATGTTGTAAAGTTTGTTCTTCTTTGTGATTAGTCTAATTTTCATTCACTTAGATTCAAGAAATGGCTTATTTTTGGGGTTAAAAAGAGGTAGATCTCTAATAATGTATGGTCATTGGTCACCCTTAGCCTTAGGAGGTGGGCCTTTTGTGGGAGAAACTAGCTCTAAAGGGGTCTAGAGAGAGACAGCCGTTCATAATTAAAGACCATTAACGGAAACAACAAATTCAGAATTGAGATATTTGAGGGACCAATTAGAGAAATTGAATCTGAAACCAAGAATTGGGATCATAAATTTCAATATAAATATCTACCAAATTAAAGTGAGGAATAATGTGCATATGCATCCATATGTGGTCAGAAACTATTTACAAATTGGAGCTATTTACTCTTTATATGCTGGAGGATAAGGGCACAACTATTTAAGCTCTGTTCCTCACTCTCTCATGCTTTAAAATGACATATTGCATATTTCCTATCTTACATGTTTCAAGAGTTAATCCACGAACATCACATAAAAATTGCTGGCTAGGTCTATATATTGCACTGTAGCCTGCTACTTTCATATATACATTAAAATTGTAGTCTGCTAGTTTCTCAAAATTTACAATAAAATAAATGTTAGCAGCACTTTTTTTTTTTTGCCTTGCTTTTTTAATTTATTTGGGTTAGAAGTGATGGGGGCAGGAAATGAGTTGGACTTTGCCATTAATCGTAAGTACATGCATGTTATAACATAACAGGAACACGAGACAACAATGTTTCAAAGCCTGTTTGGCATCCAGAAGAAAACGTTTTTGTTCTTGATAACAATTGATCAGCTTTCTCTTGTTTGATTTAAGGAAATTTTACCTATTCATACCACATTATAAACTTATGTACCCCTTAAATAAGTTATTACTTAATTACATTGATATATACAATTTACCATTTATATACAAAATAATATATTAGACTCCAATCTTACCCATTTTTTCATCCTCTTCTTCCTTTTCCAAATTTGTATCATACTTATTGCGTCTGGAATACTGCAAAAACTCAATCGTTGGAAAATAGAAATCATTGGAAAATGTTAGTTGGTGAATTGTGGGCAGTTTTTCGTCGACTCAAATGCCCAAACACCATGACAAAATTCATGATTGTATTGCGTAATGCAATTGGAGCTTTTGAAACAGTGGAAAAATCGAAATAATGGACAAGAATCAGATGGGTTAGTTATCTTGAAAACAGTAAAAAAAATAATTGCTATTAAAAATTTCCGTTGACAACCATTAAAAAGCTTTGAAGCTCTGAATTTAAAAATTAAATTTTGTGAAATTGCTATTTGTTTGGATTGGATATCATTTCAAATGATTGAGAATATCCTTTGGAGTTTATATCTCAACTTTGAGAGAATATGGTGAAGGTTCGAGGTAGTTTTGGTTAGAATTTTAGATTGAAACTCGAAAAATATATATAAACAAATTATATATATATTTCGTATGTCGGGTGTAGAAATGACATACAAAATATATACAACTAATTGTATAGGAGGTGTCTATAAATTCTATGTAAATCGTAGTTTTTGACCGAATTTTGTACAAAACAAATGTATTCAAATTGTAGATAATTGTAGATTTTGATCTAATTTGTAATATTCTGTAAAAAAAAAACTTTAGTTATTTATGTAATAAAAAATCATAAATATATCAGATAAATAAATTTAAAATTCCGTATATATACGGAAAAAATAATTTTTGTAGGTAGGTATGTCATTCGACTTTAACTTTGATCAAGATCTAAGGTCATATTCTGGGGCGGCTATTGGGTAAGGCAAATAAAGCCTAGGCTTTAGGCCCCTAATATTTTTTTTTTTT